AGCTTATGGCACTGACCTGGTGAGTAATTAATTGCGACTGCCTGCAACTAGGAAAAGTCGACCTCAGCAAATGAGAAAACTAATTACAGGTTATTCGTTGCAGCTGAAGTATATAGCGCTTAAAGCTCAGTTAGTCTAGACTTAACTTAATTTATCTTACCGTAAGAAATCATCAATCATTACTCAACACGTCAACTTAAGCCAAGAGCGGAAATATTATGTTTTTGTATTTTCTTTTTCAGCTGTTTAACAGTTCGCCGCCTTAAATGCCACATCAAAAAAATTCATGCAAACAAAAATGTTTGCTTTCATTTATTTTTAAGAAATACAAAAACGAGAGTCTGGCAAGCCTGATTCTCTCACCGCTCTCAATTTCCGTAAGACCGTAACTTAAGAACCTAAAATCTACAGGTTCTTAAGTTTCTTACGCTAAGTTAAGTTTTAACTAACCGCCAACACAGTTTCTCATATAACAGGTTGGCCGAAATATTTAGTTAAGTTACGTTACGGAAATTAAGTCTAGACTAACTGAGCTTTTAAACTGGCAAAATATAGTGACACTTCCATCACAGGGCGAAGATATAGCGGCACACTCACGTGGTTGCCAAATTGTCTGAAACGGTTTTAGCTGTTAATGATTGGTTAGTTAAACCTTTGCTCGTTTTTGGATGCCGAGCGTGAGGATCATATATGAATGCCGAATTTTAAGGAGGATATAATAATATTAATTATGCGATAAAAGCATCGCAGCCCTTGTAAGAATATATTGTCGATATTGCAATATAGTAGGGCGCAGATGGACTAAAATCATAGATATTTCTACAAATAGGAAGCGCCAAAAAGCAAGCGAACACAGAACATAACGTCAAACATTATTAACTTATGGACGTGGCTGTTGTATGTCATGAGCCCGATCTAATGGAGGGCAACAGCTTGGAGAAGAGTGCACACAATTGTCCCTGTCGGGTAGTAGGAAAGTGAGACAGTCGATTGTTCGAAATATGGTTCTTCGTAAACTTTCTTTTGCGCATTGATTCGCATAAATATTTTTATTAATTCTGGCACATACTGATTTCAGATCCCGTTGTTTTTGAGAATAATTTTTTGCCATTTTCTTTGTTGTTACTTAACGCGTTTTTTTTATTTTCTCTAGCATGGGTTATTGTTTACTTATCGCTTGGGGAATGTAAACAAAACAAATACATAAGTTTGACATAACAGCCATCACGGCGAAAGAAAAAAATTAAATAAAATTGGCTGATCAGGTAACACCACCTTGATAAATTCGCCTTGTTATCTTTGGAGTTCTGTTAGATGCGACGGTTTTTTTTCACTGATTTAAAAAATTACGTTTGCGTTTGGGTGTTTGCCGTGTTTTACCTATTCGACAAGTCAACCTAAAATGCCACGACTGACGCAAAGTGGAGTTTGGTCTTATTTTAAATTAGATGAGCATGATCGAGAGAAATCCAAGTGTAATATATGTAATAAAATATATTCTCGCAAGGGTCGTACAACCTCGTCTTTGAGGAATCATTTGAAATCAATGCACCCGGAGCAGTTTAGTCTGGTTGAAAGCGATGATAACGAAATTCAGTTGCAAAAAAAAGAGATGAATCAGGTAAGTTTTAACATAATGAATTTATTATTCTCGAAAAAGATTAATTCGTGTCATCAGTTAGTTGTACACAGAACCCAGATTAAGTAGGCATACTATTTTTTTACGTAAATTGGAGGGAAGTCTATAAATTAAACTAAATTAGAAAGGAACTTCTATTCTGCGTTCATCGGTGGGAGAAGCACAAACTCTTTAACTTTACGGCCCCAACCCAAATGGATTTTTGTTACATGTTTTTGTTATTTTGACACTAGTCTTAACTGTTTTCGTATGATATGTATATTTAATTCAATTCTAAATATAGTTTAGGTCATTTTATTTATTATTTTTCAACATGATGAATATGCCTTGAATAAAGTTTATTTACTGTGTATACATAAGTATGTATTGCTTTTTCAGATAAAAATGACACTCCGTTGCAAAAAGCTAAAACACAACTATCTTTGGAAGATGCATTTCAAAAAGAAAAAAAGTGGGACACTAACAATACGAATTCGAAGAAAATTGACAAACTCATTGGAGAAATGATTGCACTACAAAATTTACCATTTTATTTTGTGAAGGGTGTAGGATTTAGGAGATTAATGCAAGAAATAGCGCCAAAATGTAAGGAATTGTATGGAAAAGTTGCTGAGAAAGTTCAAGAACTGAATGAAAAATTTGATTCTATGTCATTTACTAGTGACATTTGGACGGATCCAAGCTCGAATGCTTCTTAGCTTAGCCTGACTTGCCACGGAATATCGGAAAACTTCAGTTATATTGAAATGTGAGAATTTTGACGATCGTCACACGGGGGATATAATAACCGAAAAGTATGACATAATGCTCACTGAATGGAATATCAGAAAAAACAAGTGCATTGCATAATTCGTGACGAAGGCTCCAACATGAAAAGAGCTATGCGATTAGCAGAATTAAACGATATGGATTGTACAGTCCACAAGATGCAGCTTACTATTCAACGCTGTTTACAGTCGCAAAAAAATATAAAAGATATCAAACAAAAATGCAAAAAAATTTCAACTCATTTTAACCATTCCACGATCGTTCGGAAAAAACTGCAAAAAATTCAGGACCGACTGAATCAACCGCACTCAACGTGTTCCAAGACTGCAACACGCAATGGAACAGTTCCTTGTATATGTTCGAGCAATTTTTAAAGATAAAAGATGAGTTGAGTCTTTACATGACCGACAGTGACATGGTCCCAATTTTGCCAGAGGAGTGGAAGATTATGGAATCTTGTGTTGAGCTATTAAAATCTTTTGAAGAAGCCAAACGGGAACTAAGAAGCTCTGAGACCCTCATATCATCCGTGATTCCAATAATTCAAATGCTTATAAAAAAACTGGGAGACTTTTTAGCCAAATCACAATATTCTGTTCCGATTCGGCTTCTACGACTTTGAAAACAGAATTTTGTTCGAAATTTTCATCCCTGGAAAATGATAATTTATTTGCCATATCCACCTATTTAGACCCCCGCACACAATTTTTCAAACCAGTCACAGAAGAAAGAATTAAAAATTAATTACAAAGTCTAAAGTCGAAAGACACTGATGAACCTGTTATTTCCCCGAATTCTGAAACAGCCAAAAGAATGAGAATGAGAAATTCTTTGGAAAAAGATTTAGAAAACCCCGAAGCATCTGGTTCGACTAGTAAGCGATGTTTAAAGAGCGATCTTGCCATTATGCTAGACTCTTCAAGTGAAGATGAAAATCAGGAGGATTCACCCGACATTAGCAGTTCCGATGCAATTCTCAAAAAGGAATTATCCTTGTACCGCAATAAAAAAAAGAATTATTATTACTGAAAGTCCCCTGAAATAGTGGAGTGTCAATCGAAACAAGTTTAAAATATTGTCAAGTTTCGCACGCAGATATATGTCGCCTCCACCAGCAAGTGTTCCGAGGGAGCAGTTATTTAGTAGCGCAGGTTTAATTTACGACATTACAGCATTACTTTTTATTAAATACTAGCAGACCCGGCGAACTTCGTCCCGCCCAAAATTTTTATATATTTTATTGAAACTTTTTGGTCCAACATTTCAGTGGCACATTTGTCTGCTAAGATTAAGGTTTGGTGGTCATTTGCCGCTTTAAATAACCTAAGGAAAGTGTTATATCCGTTCTTGAAATTCTCCAGTTGTGCGGCATTTCATAGCACGGTTATTCGCAAAGCGAAATAAATTTTTTCCTCTTCACTCCCTGGCGGCAACAATGACCCGGTTCTATAGTGAATGTCCTAGAAGCTTTACAGTATAGTAGGTGGCAATTTCAAAATGGGTGCGAATCATTGTTCTACAGAAATGCAATATACATATACTTATTTCAGACGAAATACCTTAAAAGTTTGAACGCATAATAATATTAGAAAATCACATTCATTAGGCCAATTGCAACGCAGGAGCGTTCGATATACTCAATGGTGCAACAGGGGGTTCGTCAGCTGAGCGTTTGTTTACATTACAAGCACCACTATTTTACACTTTTATTCAAGTAAAGAAGAGTTAAT